ACAAGCGCCTTCACTAGGAGAGAGAGAAATCGAGCTGTGTCAATGTCCATGTCCAACTGGTAGATGGACATTGTCCTTTTCATTATATATATTTACCTGACAGCTACAGACCATTCCATTTTAGTCCTGCTTGACTTATCTGCAGCCTTCGATACTAATGATCATGCTACTTGTATTAACAAACAAAACTGGGTTGGCATCACTGGTAGTTCTCACAAATGATTTTCTTCTACTTATCAAACAGATACTTCAGAATTCATATTAATCAGCGTATGTCCTCATCTGCACTGCTAGTATGTGGAGTCCCCCAGGGCTCAGTCCTTGGACCAATTCCGTTTTCTTTATATGCACCTATGGAATCTCCTACCATTGCTATGCAGATGATAAACATTTATAGTTTGGCAGCCTCTCCTGCCTCAAAGAATGTATTCAAAATGCATTCATCTCAATTCCTGTTAAACTAAGGTTCTAGTGCTTGGCCCAGACAATTTCTCTAAGGAGGTTAGTGATGTAATCATCACTCCCCTGACCAATAACATGAACCTTGGTATCTGTTAAAAACCTTGGCATCATCTTTGACCAACACCTGAATTTTGAAAACCAAAGGTCACACAGTCTTGTTTCCTTCATCTCAGAAATATTGTAAAAATCAAACCTTTACTGTCATTCAATCACCTTGAACTTTTTGTTCACACTTTAATTTTCTCCTTGATTATAATAATTCAATTTTCACGTGTGTCTCTCAGTCCTCCATAGCTCGTCTCCAATTAGCAGCCTTGCTGCTGCATTCTGCACTAACAAAAACTAGCAGGCGGTCACATATTATACCTATCCTTGCAATCCTTCATTGGCTTGCAGTGAAATTTAGGATCCACTTTAAAATTCTGCTATTAACATATAAAGCTCTACATGGACAGGCCCCTGCTTATATAACAGAGATTCAAAGACCTTTTCAGTGTAGCCGGCCTTTCCCATCGTCTAAACAGTGTCTCCTAAATGTCATTTGCTTTGATTTTAAAACCAGAGATCATGCTTTTGAGGTTGTTGCGCCCAAACTGCGGAACAGCTTTCCTCAGTGAATCGGTTTGGCTCACTCTGTTATTTCTTTTAAATGACAGCGGAAAACTCATTTTTATAGGTTAGCATTTCCTTAATCTTGCCCCCTTCATTTTTGGCCATAGTTTGCAACAACTTGTTGGAATTCGTGTCTGTCAGCATGGCTGATTATGTGTCTGTTTATGTGCCTGTATGTTTGAACATATACACTTATCTTAAATGTGTGGCTTTTATTTGAACTGTGAAGCACTGAACTCTGTTTTGAAAAGTGCTTTACAAATAAAACTATAAAATAAAGTAATACAATTATAGTTATTATCTGTTGTAGATTTATATTTCATGATTTCATGATTTTTCTGTTTATGGTTAGGAAAGAAGCTTTAACCTTTTTACTGTTATGCATAAAATAACATTATATGAATAATCTGGGACATTTTAATTCGTGGATCTCTTTCCAGGAGAACTAAATTCAACAGATGTTACAGAGTCACGAGTACAGTCTGAGTCACCATCATTTATTTTTGTGTGTTGCTCTTTACTGTATCTTTGCAGCAGACAGACCTGAAAAGGTGGTGAAACAGCAGATCAGACAGCTAGCTGCTTAGTTCAATATCCAGATTGGCAGCATAAACCCCTTGAAATATGGTATGTATTTTAACCATAGTCTATATACTAAATATAGACTGTGACAGCGACTGTGACATCAACCCATTTTTTTGAACTTGACAATGTGAAGCCTCAGCATTAATCTCACCACCACGTTAGTCTTTTGGATCCTGAGGCATGAAATTTAGATGAACAGGTGGATTTCTAAATTATCAGCTAATACTAACAAGCTTGGTTTGTAAGCAGCATTCTGCATGGTTCCAATGACACACTCATATCGGTTATTTAGTGGAAGCTGTGGAAGACCTCCTGTGTGGTACCGGTACCAAAGACCTCCCATCCCAAGGACCTCAGCAGCTACAGGCCGGTAGCCCTGACATCGCATCTAATGAAGACCCTCGAGAGGTTGGTTCTAAACCATCTGCGCCCCCTGGTGAGGTCTTCATTGGATCCACTGCAGTTTGCTTACCAGCCTGGCATTGGGGTGGAGGACGCCATCATCTACCTCCTGCACCGAGCTCTGACTCACCTGGAGAAGCCTGGAAGCACTGTGAGGATCATGTTCTTTTCTCCAGTCCTTTCAACACCATCCAGCCACAACTTCTGAGAGACAAGCTGGAGCTATCAGGAGTGGACCACCACATGTCCCAGTGGATACTGGACTACCTCACAGAACACAGTATGTGAGGTCACAGGGCTGTGTCTCTGATACGCTGGTCTGCAGTATGGGGACCCCACAGGGACCTATGCTGGCACCGTTCCTCTTCACCCTCTACACTGCAGACTTCTCCATCAACTCCCCACGCTGCCACCTACAGAAGTTCTCTGACGACTCTGCCATAGTCGGCCTCATCACAGGTGAGGACGACTCAGAGTACAGACAGTGGACTCTGGACTTTGTTGACTGGTGTCAGCAGAACCACCTGCTGATCAACGCCGGGAAAACGAAGGAGTTGGTGGTGGACCTCCGGAGACGCAGACCCACCACACTGACACCGGTGAACATCCATGGAGTGGACATCGAGATAGTGGACTCTTATAGGTACCTGGGTGTTCACCTGAATAATAAGCTAGACTGGAGCCACAACACTGATGCTCTGTACAGGAAGGGCCAGAGCAGACTCTACCTGCTGAGGCAGCTGAGGTCATTTGGAGTCCAGGGAGCGCTTTTAAAGACCTTCCATGAGTCTGTGGTGGCCAGTAGCAGTTTTAGATACGGGCGACATGGGCGGTTGCCCGGGGCGGCATCGTGGTGGGGGGTGGTATCACGGCATCGGCAAAACAAAAAAAAAATGCTCGTACTCATGCTGCCCCGACGTCAGCCAGCGCATATTAGGAATGGCATAGGTCCCGATCGGTTTTCTATCGCCCATTTGCTGGGAGTAAGGGCGCCCTTCGTTTGCGAGGTGCGCCTGCTGCTTGCGGCGCAGAGAGGAGAGGGCGGGGCGGCGGGGGATTCTCTGATCGGCTGGAGCAGCATCTAATAACCAACTCGCAAAGCAAAACAAAATAAAAACAAACCAACAAACACGAAAACACGAGACATTATAATACAGACTTATAATTTGCACCGATGTATTTTTGAAATTCTATACACGAAAAGTGAGCGTGAGAGCTCTCGGCGCGCCTGCTTGCTGCTGAAGTCAAAGTAAACTTTATTGTCATCTCCGCTACAGTCCAGTATATAGAGAGACGAGACGTGCTGCTTCCAAATAGAGCCCTGGACCCATTGCAGGTGGTGGGAGACAGAAGGACTCTGGCCAAAATAACATCTCTGATGGACACAGTCTCCCACCCCATGCATGTAGATGTTGCTGAACTGCAGAGCTCCTTCAGTGACAGACTGCTGCATCCTAGATGCACGAAGGAGCGTTTACGCAGGTCCTTCTTCCCTGCAGCTGTCAAACTGTACAATCAGAACTGCTCCCAACAAACATAGATGTTTACATCTGCGCTGTAACTGCAATAAGTTAATTAACCGATTCGCACTACAACCTGGTTTGCCTTTTATCTGTAGTTATTTTTATTTAATTTAATAACTGTACAGTACTCTGTATATAGTAACCATTGTCCTTAATGTAAATATGTAAGAAAAATTGTGTATGTTTCTGTTCTGTGTCCTGTGTACGCTTTGTTTGTATATGTGTCTTTTTGGCTGCTGTTACAACCAAATTTCCCCTTGTGGGACAATTAAAGGATTAAAGGATTATTCTTAGTCCAGAGTAACATGCTAGTTAAATGCCAGAATTTCAATCACTTTTTGGGATTGGCCAAATTAAACAGCAGGTCATATTATTTGTCATATAATTTAACTTCCCAGAAAGGAACACACAGCACAGACACAGAATAGATGCAGTTCAGTGAGTCCAATTACCAGAGGTGAGGCCTAGCAGGCAACACTCAGCTGTCTGTGTCGGGACATCTGCCAATCAAAGTGACATCCAACTAGATGGTGAGGAATTTATGGATGAATTAGAAAAACAAAACAACTAAACATCCCCCTGTTGTTGTTATAAACTGGGAAACTATCCACAGAGGATAGTCTGTACTGGGCTGTAAACATGCTTTTTATAATGGTGCATTTTAGCACAGGAGTGTATGGGACTCTACTCATTAGGTAAACCTAGCATACCACAAGTCAGCCAGTATTACAGCCAGGGGTAGGTACTGGGGTGGGTGAAAATGATTAGCACTGAGTGTATTAGCATACATACGGATTTGGATTAAATACAATATCTAGTTAAGACTGAAAGTAAGGCGTATCTTGAGAGATATATATTTGCATATATCTGGTCGTAAAGAACTGCACTGAATACTCTCAGGATGATCAGTTATCCATAAGTTGCTGACACTGTAAACCAAAATGGCTGCCTGCTTGTGGTGCTAAGAGAAAGTTGCATGATTAGGGGAATTTCCTGGCTCCATCCTCTGGTTACTTAGAATCCCTGTGCAAACTTTTAGGGCAATCTATCCAAATTTTCAATTAACAAAGCCAACAGACCACACAACATTGCCACAGATCCCATTGGCAAGACTGCAATAAATGAAAGAAAGTAGTCATAACCACTTACAACTTGCTATTCGCTACAGGTCAGGTGATTTTTTTCCTTTTGTCTCACAAGCCAAAGGAAAACTGTCAGCTAGCTCCACTGCCATCGCACATTACACCCTGCATAACTCTTGTTTGATCCGTGCTCAACAAGTCAATTGCAAAGATGCTTTAATTTCTAAAACAAAAAACTTTCTTTATAACTCAGAAATTATGAAGTCATAATGGTCAGTTTTGATGACAGTCCTTAATGTGAGTCAGTGACATATTTCCATGCATGCAGACGCACCGGTGCAAGAGTACTCGTCCACTCTGGTGAAGCCTGGTAGACAGTCACAGCGATGGCTGCCGGGCAGGTTGACGCACACCGTGTTGGACTGGCAGTAGTGCATCTGCGTCGCGCACTCATCAATATCTGAGGACAAAGAGAGAATATGCAGTGGGTTAATAATTCTTTAGGCTTCTTTAAAGACACACCTACTCCTTTGGAACTAACAAGTAAATTGCTTTTAATCACCTCCCAAAGGAAAGGTGTCTGAGCCCCATCTTGATGCACAAGTTATTAATTAGAGTTTTGCACAACCAAAACTGCACCCACCGAAAAACCTCAGACAAACAAAGACGCTTAAATTTAAGTATTGCTTGTATGGTTTAAATGGAACGGTCATGCCCAGTACAATGGAGAGAGAGAGAGCATGACAACTGACTGTGAATCGAGCACACCAGAAGCAATCTCAACAAGGAGGAGAAAGGAAAGGAAAAGGCTGATGAGATAAGGACATATCAACTGAAGAGGACAGAGGAGAGCAGGGAGTACAGCATCTTCGCTGACATCTATTATGTGGAGCTAATATCATGATATATTACGTCTTCTCTTCATACACACAGGCTCTCTCCTCCTAATGTAGCTTGAAAGACATCGTATGAGCACTAAAACATGGAGCTCGGGGAAGCATTAGCAGAGCTGGATGACTGCTGATGAAATGGGATTGGAAACACACAAGGGAGGCGTTATGCAGAAGGGAGCCCTAAATTTGCGCGCGTGCGTTTGTACAGTGCCGAGTATTTATGCGGATGTGAGCAGAAGAGAACCGGTTTCCCGAGGCTAACAGGCCTTTCCACCACTTAAGGGAAGGAGAGCGTGAGGACAGCATTTCCATATCCTCTCCTTGGATAAATACATTCCAGCCTCGAGGTGTTCAGCTCACTCTTTCCCCTTACAATAGAATGAATGCGTATGAAGTATGTAATTGCCTTACATGCAACACCCATAAGGTTTTTTTCTCGGTGAGTTTCATCCTTGGAGAGTGCACAGTAGGAGTGTTAAATTCCACAAAGAGAGGCCGATCATGTATTCAGGCATATAAAGGCTCGCCGGCCTTTGGTGTTAAAAAAAGCATTGATCTCCTGCATCAAAAACATGGAACTTATTTGAGCGACAGCACCCGAATCTAATTTTCATCTTGTCCTGAAGCACTGCTCCGCCTAAAAAGCTTACTCATTTGATTAACCTTTATTGGCAAAAGATGCCAAACTGTTGTTCAAAGGTTGATGACAGCCGACACGGAGACTCAATAACTCAAAGTCGAGCACTCGCTGCTTTTGTTTCGCTTTCGCTTAAAGCAAGACGACCCTCTGGTGTCAAGCCTGAGGCAAGACTTTTCTGTTGTTTTAAGGCCCTGCATCCCCTGTGTTTGGAAAAGTCTGTGTGTGTATTCGCCCTCTGCTGCCTCCTCTGGGAGCATTGTTGCAGGTGAGGTCTGCTGACAGAACTGAAACTGTCATTTCACAGCGGGGGGATGGAGGAGAAGCGGTTCGTTTTTCTGTTCGTTTTTTGCCAGAGTGTATGTGTGTGTGTGTTTCTCTTTGCCTCTCTTCTCCCTCCCCACACCCCCATCTCTCTGCCCCAGACACCACACCCCACCTCCACCCTTTCCCTTCCCAATATGAGCTCACTTTCTTCATCTCTCTGCTGCTTTATTCATGCTGTGATGTAGGTCAGGGCTGGGTAGGGGAACAGCTAAAAATAAGGCAGGATAGGACTGAGTGCATGCATGAGTGTGCGCGTGCTTGTTTACGTTAGCTCATTTCTTTTTTGTGTACTTATGTGTGTCTGGGAGAGAGATGGGTAAAAATGAGGGTGCTGTGTGCTTGGATGCTGTGAGACAGAAAGAGAGAAGAACCTTGTTCTTTTGCTGTCGTCTGTATATGTGTGCGCACTACTAGATTCATCACCTCTTACTGTAGGGGTCAATGGAAACAGCTTTCTATGTTACAACAATATTGTTTCTTCTTGATGGAAACTCCTTTATTTCCTTTACCCAGATACTCACAGATTGTGTGAATGCATTACTGAAGGTGTCTGTAAATGCAAGCTTATAGGACTCAGCCACTGCAGCTGATCAGTCACTTTTATTTTCTCTGTTTGAAGTCCATGAGATGAAGCTGCTGCTACAGCCTCTGAATGAAACAGAGATGGAAATAAATTTTGAGATAAGTCCCTTTGACTTCAAAAGTGACTGTCAGCAAATGTGAGACTTGCTTGGTGCTTGGTGGAGAAAGTGCCCTTGTGTGTGCCTTCACCAGTGAGTGTTTTTTCAGTGTTTTACATCCAGCAAACTTTGAATTGTTACTCAATTTAATTTTCAGGTTTGCACACTGACTATCACTCAGCACTAGGCCTTACATTTTTAAAGAGGGATAGAGTTCAGTTAAATGGGTTGTAAAGGATGAAAGGCCTTCTCAGGTATTGTTCTTTTAATCCAGATCACTGTTTATCCATCCACCCATCTTCATCCGCTGTATTACTGCTTAGCCACTGTTTAGCTAAGCAGTAATACAGCTTTTATGGAAAAACTCTTTATATCAAACAATTCACAACCTAAGTTCAATTTATAAATGGGGCATTTGAGTGAAAAACACTGTATTAGACAGTGTCATGTGGTTCATCTCACATTTGAACCTTGCCCTATTACAGTCGTGTGAAAAATAATGTTTTCAAAGAAGTCTATAAACTCCTGTGAAAAATGAAGCATACCCCATGATTCATTAACTTGGAGCAATAGAAGGAAGTAATCGTTTTCAGTATGACTATCAGTCTCTCACATCATTGTGATGCAATTTTGGCCCACTCTTTTTCACAACGTTGCTTCCGTTCATTGAAGTTTGGGGGCATTGATTTATGCACAGCTCACTCGAAGGTTCAGTTGTATCATTTCAGTTGGGTTGAGCCTGGACTTTGGGCCATTGCAGCACATCCTTGTCTTTTTCAGCCCTTCTTTTGCAGAGTTGCTTCCATGTTTGTGATCATTATGCTGTCATGTGACCGAGTTTCAACCAAGCATTAGCCGTCGGAAAAAAATCACCTCACATTCAACTCTAGGATCTAAAGGAGCTCATTAAGTCAACTCAACGACTGCAACGTGTCTAGGTCCCAAATCATCACCCCTCTGCCACCATGATATAAGGTGTATAGAGAGCTTTAACATTTAACATGCTAACTGAGGTCTGTAGAGTCTGAGATGTTTTTTTTTTTTTGCTGTTTATGTGAACATTGCACAGTCTGACCTTGGGGTGAATGTGCACTTTTGATTGTGGCATTATGTAAACACACACCTGAACCCTCCAAACTGCCAAAATATCTCTTTCTTTAAAAGGTGGCAACGCTGATGATCAGCTAACCAAGTGCATTTGATTATCAGCGCCTGGCTGCTACTTACTCTCTTACTCTTCCTGCAGAAGAAGAAAGGCAAGGCAAGGCAAGGCAAGTTTATTTGTATAGCACAATTCAACAACAAGGTGATTCAAAGTGCTTTACAGAGACATTAGAAACAAGAACAAATAAAAAGCATGATTTAAAATTGATTAAAACAAGCAAACTAACTAACTAACTAATTAACAAACAAACAAACAAACAAACAACAGTATATAAAATCAAAACAGATAAAATCAGAACAGTAGATAAAATCAGTAGTTAAATGTAAGTTTTGAAATTTAAGCTTAAAAGTGTGGATTTGGTGCTTTATTCAAATGCAGCTGAGAACAGGTGAGTCTTCAACCTGGATTTAAATAAACTGAGTGTTTCAGCTGATCTGAGGCTTTCTGGGAGTTTGTTCCAGATATAAGGAGCATAAAAGCTGAATGCAGCTTCTCCGTGTCTGGTTCTGACTCTGGGAACTGATAAAAGACCGGATCCAGATGACCTGAGGGATCTGGAAGGTTCATACTGGGTCAGGAGGTCACTGATGTATTTTGGTCCTAAACCATTCAGAGCTTTATAGGCCAGCATCAGAACTTTAAAGTCTATCCTCTGACGGACAGGCAGCCAGTGTAAAGACCTCAGAGCTGGACTGATGTGGTCCACTTTTTTGGTCTTAGTGAGGACTCGAGCAGCAGAGTTCTGAATGAGCTGTAGTTGTCTGACTGATTTTTTAGGTAGACCTGTAAAGATGCTGTTACAGTAATCAAGCCTACTAAAGATGAATGCATGGACTAGTTTTTCCAGGTCTTGTTGAGACATCAGATCTTTTATCCTTGATATATTCTTGAGGTGCTCTCAGTTCTCATTCAAAAAGTATGTTTTCAAAGGCAGACACCACTATATGTATATGTTTTGTATTTGAATCTGTACGTTGTTTACACTGTGTCCTTTATGTCATGTAGCTCAGCTCACATATGAACTTTGTGCTATTACAGTCGTGTGAAAAAGAAGTCTATGTATCATTTCATTTGTATTTCCTACTTTCCTGTCTTTTGATGCGAATGGAGGGTTAACCGTTCCTATTGTGAGCAGTTGTTTTGTGTTTATGCTCTATTTCAGATGGCACTAGCTAGCGTGAAACAGAATGACAAATGGAACAATGTTGTCATATTTTGTGTTGAAGATTTGCCAGAGAAAATCTAGAGAATTTTCTCCAGATTTTGTACTTTATACCCAACCAAATAGATTAAAAAAAATGTAGTGGTGAGGTGGCTAGTGTGGTGAGGAGTGCTTGGATCTCTACAGAGGAGAAACCAAACACACTCCACAAAATAGAGCCAATGCAACAGGACAAGACTCAGCTGCACACCTGCACTCTTAAGGATGTCAATGTTCACATTTTGCCCTGAGAAGACTTGAAAGGGTTGAAAGAGGACTAAAAGAGGCCATCTATGTCCACTGCGAACGACAATCTTTGCACAGAAGTGGTGGCTTACATGACCAGCTATCGGACATCTTGAGAACCTTTCTTGGGTATTTCAGCCTCACATTCACACTTTTCGCTCTGTTGATCTTCTGTTGAATAGGCCACATTATAAGCTCTGGGGAGGCCTCACAGTGGCTTCAACCCTTAAGCCTGGGTAATAGTGATGAGCAACGCGTTTTTTCACACCTTGGCTCATTTAATGACTCGCACTATCAGGTCATCTATCAAC